ACCATTTGCACCAGTACCCAGCAAGGGAAGCAGGAAATCCATCCTCTAGGCTTAATGCTAATGGAACAAGAATGCATGGAGCCTGGATCCAAAGACTCAGCATTTCCAAACAACCTTCCTCACCAATTTATAAAATATCATAGCTGAAATATCATCTCCTCACTTGGGAAAACAGAAGCTCAGAGGGCACAGGGCCAGGCCAAGTCCTCTCAGAGAGTTAGGACAGAGCTAGTAGGTGACAGCCTGATAGAATGGTGGAATAGAAAGAACATGGACTTAGCATTGGACAGACTGAACTTTGAACTTCACCTCTCTTAGCCCTGTGATTTTTAGGCAAATGACCTCACTCTTCAAGCCTTGGATTCCTCCTCTTCATATAAAAATAAATTTACCCACTGCCATCAAGTCGATTCCAGCTTATAGCAACCCTGTAGGGTTTCCAAGGCTGTAAATCTCTATGGAAGGAGACTGTCATATAAGAAGAAGAACGGCTAATACTTACTGAGGGCTTAGTATATGCTGGCTGCTTTTGCTCTAAATGGTTTTACATGTGGTGGCTAATTCAAGTCTCAAAGCAACAGAAATTCTGGGAGGTAGGTACTATCATTATTACCTTTTTGCAGCTGAGGAAACAGAGTCACAGAAGGGTCAAATTAGCTGGCTAGGGACAATCATCCAGGAAGTGGGAGAGTTGAAACTCAAACCTAGGTGGTCAGCTTCAGAGCCCATGCTCAACCTCTACGCTAAACTGTCACATGGGGAGATAACATGTACCCCCTCCAGGAGTTTAATCCTAAATGTTCTAATACTGAACAGGGCTTGACATATAGAAGTGCTCTGTGAGCATTGGCTTTTATTGTCACTGATGAACAAACAACCTATTTGAGAAACAGTTCACTCAAAGACTGCACATGAAGCCTTTTGCTCTTTAAGATTCATCGCTCACCCTTCCAGGAACCCCGCCTATTTTGTCTAAAAAGAGGAGGAGGTTGTCGATCTGGGCCTTAAGGATAAACTACTCAAGGGTCAAGCGGGGTGTGGGGAAGGGTGTACCAGGCAGGGGGAGCAACACTGGCAAAAAAAAAAAAAAAGCCTAGAGGTGCGAAAGGTGTGTGTTTGCAAATAAAGCCAGGTAGGGGCTGTTGGATTTTACTCAGATGCTAATGGCTGTGGGACCTTCCCTACACCTCAGTCTACTTCAGTCTTGTCAAAACCTGGACCTCAGGCGCTACCTGGTGGCAGTCACTGATACCAACAGGGCAGAAATAACCAGCGAGAGTAAAAGCTGCCCACCCCACTCCCCTGGATTGTCTCTTCCTGTCCCTTTCCTCAGAATTGAACTTGCTGAAAAAGTGATATAACAACAATCAGGGTAAATTTATTATTTAAAAATTACATTTATTTTCCATTTATCAAAGCAATGCATGCTCATTGCAGAAAATTTGGAAAAAACAGAGAAAAGAATAAAGAAGAAAAGAAGTCACCTTTAATTCCATCACCCAGAAGCAACCACTATTAATATTCTGGCCTATTTGCTTCCAGTGTTTTTCTCTGCATATAATTTTCACATAGCTGAGGATTAGTGCATATATATATCTATGTATATAGACATATACACACATATGGACTCAACTATGTTTAAATATATGTTGAGTAGTTTTGTGAACAAAGGCTTTGTGTGGAGGTTAGTATGGGTGTTGGGAGCCAGGAGATGGCGCTAGACCATCCTGAGTTGGAATCCTTTCTTTTCCTTTACTAGCTGTGTGACTGGGGCAAGTGACTTCTCTGAGTAGCAATTTCCTTCCTTATCTGTAAAACGTGGTAAAGGGACCTATCCTAGGGCTGTTGTGGAGATTAAACGACACAATGTATGCAAAAATGCTTAGCACAGTGCGTGGCACACAGAGATTTTTCACTAATAGTAGATTACCATGTAAAACGTACTCTGCCTTCTGATTCTTAGCAGAAATCTTTAGACACGGGAGTGATTTCTGAGTTCGAGGACATGAAGAACGTCAAGGCTGATACAGTTTGCCAAACTTGAAAGGAAAATTCCAACCAAGATCTTGTGTTTCCAGCACCACATTTGTTCTCATTTGTTTGTATATTCTTTCAGGCTCTGTTTACACAGAATTTTTTAAGCATTGTAATTACAAGGCTTGCACCAGTTCCCTTAATATTACTTTGTGACATTTTTCTAAGTACCTAAAGCTGTTGTTGACAGCATTTTCCATAATTCATTTAACTATTTCCTTATTGTTGTATATCTGGGTGGTTTAATTTTTCCTATTATCGATTCATTCATTTACTAAATTGTTATTAATGCCTACTCTTTGCCAGACACTGTGCTAGGCATCAGAATACCGTGGTCAACAAGAACAGCAGATTCCTTACTTGTGGCACTTTGACTCTGGCCAGTGAGACAGACTATAACAAGTAAGCAAACAAGTTAAACTATAATGATAAAACTGGTATGTGCTGCGAAGCAAAGGAGAGAACTACTGAAGAGACCTACTTTATTTATACATTCATGTATTTTTTGGAATAGTCCTAGTCTCTAATTCTAGTGTGCTCTTTGCTTCTCAGTAGCCACAGCTGAAGCTTCTCTTTCAGGAGCTCCATATGGGATTAAAGTTTCCACTCATACATTTTACATTTTCCTGAGAAATTAGAACTCACTGTGGTGTTCAAAGACTTGAAAATCAGGCTCAAATGGGTCTTGTTTCCTGTTCTTCCTTCCTCCAAAGCTTGTGTTCAATCAGTCCAGCCTGTTTCTTTTCACCCTGAAGAGGCTTATGATTATCTCCTTCTTAAATCTGCTTGTACTGTGCCTTTTCCTAACCTTCCTGCTCAATACAGGACCTCAACTTGCCCTGGGAGCCTTTGAACCAGTAAGCAAAGGTACCCTCTTTTGGTGGACACAGCTTTGATTGGTGAGGCTTGATGGGCAAGTTGAGGCAAGGTGGATTTCAGCCTTGGGTCACCTGCATGACTGTGTGTGGCAGCCCTGACCACAGCTTCTGGAATGACCACCCACTTACTTTCTATCTGACTAAATTCTTATTCCTTCTCGATACTCAGTTTATAGTCTATCCCTTATATGAATCTTGGCTTGGCTTTCTAATTCACAGTAAATTCTCCATTCCTTGAACTGCTAAATAATTTTTTATTTTTTAATCTGCCTGTTAATCATATACTGCCTTGTAATTCTTCTTGTGTCCTCAGGGACAGTGAGGAAAACTTACCCAAGAAGGAGACATCTGAGCTGGGTTTTCCAGGCAGAGACACAAAGGAAGGGGAAGTCAAAGCAGAGGGAGGAGTATGTACAAAGACATGGAGGCAGGGAGAGCAGGATGATTCCAGAGAATGGTGAGAAGTTCTGTATGGCTGGAGATTAGTGTGAGTGGTGGGGAGCTCAGCGGAGGCAGAGAGATAGGCTGATTAAAGTGCCTGGATTTTATCTTACAGATGATGAGAAACAAGGGGAGGTTTCTAAGCAGGACAGTGGCAGGTCTAGTTGCAGAGTGGAGAAAGGATGGGGGTGTGGTGGAGACCAGAGGCAGGGAGACCCATGAGGAGGCTGGTGCAATGGCTCACGCTAAAGGTGGAAGCCTGGATTAGGGCAGTGATAATAGGAATGGATTAAGAGAGGAAAGAAAGGAGAGACACTTCAATGTAAAACCTCTAAGACTTTAGGTGGTGACAGGGGACAAGGGAGAGGGATAAGTTAAGACTTTGTAATTTTCAAGCATGGGTAACTTAATGAAGGTGATGCTACCTGCTGAGACAGGGAGGTCAGGAGGAGGAACAGGTTGTGGGGTGGGGATGGGGGGTGGGGGGAGGTAGGTTGGTGGAGAAAGATTACGGGTGGTACCATGGACAGCTCTAAGCATCTCCAGAGGCCCTTAAAATAGACTCAGTCAAGGGTTTTTGAGCTTGGCTACCTTAGGATCAGTAGAGGAGCTAATTTAGCGTGCAGATTCCCAGGCCCTCCCAGCTGTACTGCATCAAAGTCTCTGGGGGTGCGGTTCAGGGGCTTGCATTCTAAACAAGCACTCCAGGTAACTCCGGTGCAGACAGTCAGATGACGATATCTAAAGAAACACTGGAATAAAGCCATGGTGGGCTCCAGGCAAGAGAAGAGAGCTTCCTCTACTGCTAAAAAGGAGGTTTCGACCTCCTGAGTTTATAACTTGCATATTTTGAGGCTGTTTATTCACCCAGTGAAACCCTGGACTAAAACAAAGAAACAAGAGGGCTGGGGAGAAGAGTGAGGAAAAGTGGTCACTTTATTCCATGTGCAGCCCTGGTGGCGCAGTGGTTAAGAGTTCGACTGTTAACCAAAAGGTTGGGAGTTTGAATCCACCAGCTGCTCCTTGGAAACCCTATGGGGCAGTTCTACTGTATCCTATAGGGTTGCTATGAGTCCGAATCGACTCAACAGCAACGAGTTTTTCTTTTTACTCAATAACTTCCGTGTTCCTTTCACTCTGTTGAGGAGATAAGAGTGTGGTAAAGCTTACCTGTGTGCAATAACGGTCGCTGTTTTTGCTCTGGGTTGCTGTTACATCTTCCCAACCTCATCCATTCCCTCCAACCAAATGTAGCTTCTTCAGCTGAGAGAGGAGAGCTCTCTCCTTGGATTGGCTTTAAAAATACGTGACATAATAAGCAAAAGCAGTTGTTTAACTAGTCCTCAACTAGACTAGAGAGTCGCTATGAGTCAGAATCGACTCGACGGCAACAGGTTTTCAACTAGACTAGGTATCTGTATGGCTCCTCCACGGTTTTCCAATTCCAATGAGACCTCCCTGAGAACAGGGAAAGTGTCTGCCCTCTCAGTCTGGGGGCTCTCCCAGGACCGGAAAGGGTTTCTTCCAACGGATGGCTACTCCCTGAGGGTGTGGACTTGTCACGTCCATCATCAGACTGAGGTGCTTGCCAATCGTGGAGTTCCCAGGGGGTGTGTATGGGGAGCAGGGAAAAGTAAGCCTCTTGTTATGTGCGCAACATCTTTCTACCCTCATCTCGCCTCCACCTTCTCCTCTTCAAGTTCTTCGCCCTCGGAAAACCAGTGGGTTCTTTGGGTGGGCGGGCCGAAGCTGCTTTTTGCCCTCTCCCAAGATGGCCACCCGCTGCCTCTGTGACAGGCCTGGTCACGTGGACACATCCGCCTATGAGGTCTCTGGGGCTTGGTAGGTGATTGTCCCTTTCGGGGCCCCGTCCCCAGGCGGTGACTGCCCTTGTCAACCGGAGCCTGAGCGATCATGGCAACGGGCTCGGGCTGGGAGCTCGTGGCGGCAGTGGCAGCGGCGACAGCTTGGTCGCGGGCCGGGGCGGCGGAGCGGCGGCGGCGGCGGTGGCACTGGCACTGGCACCGGCCCTGAGCGCCATGCTGCCGGGCAGCGCCGAGAGGCAGCAGGCGGCCGGATGGGAGGCGCAGGAGGTGGCCGCGGCCGCAGCGGAGGCGACTGAGGAACAGGTCTGCGTGGACGCGGGCGCGGCCGGGGAGCCGGAGCGCACGACCGGGGGGGAGCAACTCAAGGACCCGGCCCCGGCCCCGGCGCAGCCCCGCGCGGCGGAGGAGGGGGACGCCCGCGACCCGCCGCGGCCGTCGCCCTCGCTGCCCCAGTCTAAACCGGCTCCAGCGCGGGGCCTCTGCCCGCATGGCAAACCCAGGAGCAAGGGCCGAAGCTGCAAGCGGGGCTCAAGCCACCGTCCGGACGAGTCCCGTCCTCGGCGGCCAGTCACCGTGGACAGCTCCAAGGCCAGGACCTCCCTGGACGCTCTGAAGATCAGCATCCGCCAGCTCAAGTGGAAGGAGGTGAGGCCTGGCCTGCCGCGTGGGCACAGGGGGGTGGACAGGACGACCTCAAAGGATCCTGCGCGGCCCCAGCCAGATCCGCTGGCAAGGGCCAAGCTCCTGCTGTGCGCCACGCTGGAGCCTGCTTGTCAGCCACAGTCTGCTCATCCTTCCCGGCCTAGCCCCAAAGTCACTTCCTCCAGGAAAGCTTCCCAGACCCCTCCAGAGCAAGTCAACCACTCCGTGCTCTAGCTCCCCTAAAGCTCTTTATATGGTCTCCAGCCTTCTGCACTCGCTCTTCACACTGTAGTTATTTGCTTATATCCCTGTCTCACCCACCAGCTTGTGCGTCCCTGGGGACGGGACCCTGTCTCTTTGAAGTATTCATTTTAAGTTATATTTGTTTAGCACTTACTGTGAGACTCTTGGCCGTTTAACAGTTTGTACTTTGGAGACAGGCCGACCTAGGTTCGCACTACACCTTGCCACTTAGCTGTGTGATCTTGAGCAAGTTGCTTCACCTCTTAAGCCTATTTCCTCCTCTGTAAAGTTAGGCTAATAATACTTATCTCATAGTTTTGTTAGAATTAGAAGACTCACTGCTTAATGTAGTACAGCACAAGTATGCAATAAATGGTAACTCATCTTACCACCCTCTACTCTCTTCCCTCCTTCAAAATCACTGTCATCATCATGATCACCATCATCATCATTGCAGGCACTGCATTTCATGTCTCAGAACTTGGCATATAGTAGATGTCAGTAAGTGATGGGCGAGAGTGAATGAAGAAACGAGTTATTCATCTCTGAACCCATGTTAGACTTGGTGGGTGCTAGGATGAAGCACCAATTACATCCAGAGGTGTATGTGGCAGTTCGCTAAGTGTATAAAGCTACTTGTCTTTGCAACCTGTAAGGATGCTGAATGTGCTCTTGGTGGTGCCAGGATTGCAATTTAGGGTAGGGTGGTCTGGAGACTTAGGCCCACTTGCAGCAGGCAGCACTAGAACTCTGGTACCTACCCCTGTGCCTTGGCTATGGTAGGTTTAGTAATGGTTTTACAAAGTTGGAACATGAAAAGAGATGACTTGCATAGGGTTCATGTCCCAGCAGGGAGGAGTCATGTGGTTTGTAGAGAAGTTGAGAATCAAGCCAGGGCAGACTTCCAGGCGGGTAGGAGGTCGCCACTGGGGAAGTCTGACTCCAGGTGCCAGGTCCCTCAGCCTTGGGGCTTGGGATTCAGGGAAGAACTTTCATGCCTGGGAAATCTGGGGAAAGCAAGTGAGCACTCCCAGTTCTGGAGTATCTGGGTTTATGGACAAGGTCTGAGGTCCAGGTCAGAGATATGAGGGTCAGAACAAGATTAACTGGGGAACTCATAAGTGCCACATCCTAATGAACAGAGAACCCTGGGACTGAAACCAGGCCAGGGAGTCAGGCAAGGCTAACTAGCCCCAGCAGGATCTGTGCTTCGCCCTGTGGGAGAGAGGGACACAAAGTGGGATAAATCTTGTTCTCTGAGAGATATGGGCCCAGATGGTCTTAGAAAATGCCAGTTTAAGTTCATTCATTCATCCAGTAAATGTCCTTATGGAGGTGCCACATTCTCTGCTGGACCCTGGGAATCAGAGATGGTTATGATGTAGGCTTTACCCTCACAAGTAAAGGAATAATTGCAGTAATTACAGGACCTTTTCTGCTGCTTCCTGAAGTGCTCTTTTCCCAGTTATTTGCATGGGGTACTGTCACTTCTTCAGATCTCTGATCAAATGCCATTTCCTCAGAGAAGCTTGATAAGGCCATCAGTCTCCAGCCCTTGCTCTTTATATTTTTTTCATAGCACTTAATGCTACCTGACATTATATTATGTACTGTTTGTCTATTGTCTGTCTGTTTCCCTCACTAGAATGTAAGCTCCATGAGGGCAGGGGCCTTATTTCATTTCCTGTTGTATCTTCAGGTGTTTCGCACATAGAAGTTGCTCAATAAATATTTGTTGAATGGATGAATATGTTATGAGTGTTTCTCTGTATATGTAAAGGTATAGGTAAAGGTATAAGTGCTGTGGGAGCTAGAGGAGGGGCACCTCAGGAAGTGCTTCCTACAGGAGATAAACCCGAGCTGAGTCTTGAGTGCTGGAAATGAGTAGGAGTTAGTGAGGGGCTGTGGAGTCTGGATCCCTGATGGGGGGAGTGGTATGGGCAAAGCAGAGGTACATTGGAGCTTTGCAAGTTGTTCAGTATGGCCAGATCATAAAGTGGGAGATAGATGGTGAGAGACAAGGCTGGAGACGTGAGCAGGGGTCAGGTCGTGTGCCCTGCTGTGGGATTTGAACTTTTTTTGAAGGCTCTGTGAGCCATCACAGAATTTTAAGTTTCTTCAATTTTTCAGCTGTGCTACTTAGAGCAAGTCAGTTTAATCTTTAGTCCTCAGTTTTTCTGTCTATAAATGGGGATGAATAGAGCTAGTTCAGTTAAAGTTAGTTCTTTATGCTGCATGCCAACTCTCTGATGATTCAGCCCACACAATGGTAATGCTAATTTACACAAGACCCTTGCACTGGTGGGCAATTTCTAGGGCACTAGTTGTAACTGCTCTCCAAACTCCTCCCGTGCCTTCTTCTCTCTCTGAGAAAGCATGTTGGCATGTAAGTGGAGATGCTCATTCTAAAGTATTTTAAGACCTAATTTGCTCACAGCAATAAGACTTTACTGTTAGATGTGTGATTATTTCCTCAGTGTCACTTTTCCCCATTAGTCTGTGAATTCCTGAGGGCAAGGGTGGTGTCTAACTTGTTCACTGTGTGTCCCCTGTGTCCAACACATGTAGGCATTCAGTAAATGTTCACCAAATGAATGCATGAAATACTTGGAACAGAGCTCATGTCTCATCTTGACATCCTAGAATGTGGTGTTTGAAAAATGCCAGGTTAGATAATCTTCTAATCTATGATTATGTTATTCTTAGTACTTACTACAAAGTTAACTATATGACAAGTAGCATACGTATAAACCAGGTACTAACCAAGTGCAAACACATGACCTCTCCAGGCCTTAGTTTCCTCATCTATTACAGGGGTAGTATTGGACCAAATTGTCTCTGAAGTACCTCCCAGCATTGATGTTCTAGGAATGGGAATATCTACTGGGGGCAGGGCAGCAAGGGATTGAGCAACAGTGTCCTTTGCATGTAGAACTGTGTTGCTGCTGCACAGCTTGGGAATACTGTTTGGCTGGTTTTGGGGAGGTAAGAAATAAGGTCATGAATATCAACCAGAGCGAAAGTTCTGTGTCTCCTTTTGTGTGTGTATAGTGAGGGCCTATATAACACACTGCACTTAACAGGGCAGCACTGAGTCAGCATGTGAATTCAGAAGCTTGCTTCAGCTACAGGGCACAGTCTCCCCTCGTCCTTCACTTTTTATTCCATGTGCATTTAACAAGAACAACAATGATAATGAACTCTTACATAGATCTTACTCTTTGCCAGGCACTGTTCTAAGTGCTTTACGTATATAAACTTGCTTGAGTCTCACAATAACTCAATAAAATAAGTTCCTTATTGTCTCCATTTTAAAGATGAGGAAGTTGAAGTACACAGAGGTTAAGTAACTTATCCAAGGTCACACAGTTATTAAGTGGCAGAGCTAACATTTGAAACGGGCATTCCATTTGAAACCAGGCTTCAGTTCCTGGCTCAAAACCAGGCTCTTCTCCACTACTCTATTGGCAGACCCTGGATTAGAAACGGGAGAAGTAGATATAAATAGGGTATACTCCTTCCCCTCAAGGAGCTCCCAATCCAGAGGGACAGATACTGCAAAAAGATAATTACAGTCCAGTCTAGTGGTGCAGTGTTAGAGGTTAGAGGCGGCTGTAAGTGTACTGAGAAGGGCTGTCTCTTGTGTAGAGAGGTGTGGGCTATAGGAGGGCTTAGAGGGAAAGTGACACATGGACTGAGTTTTTAAATAATAGGAGGGAGATAGCCAGGGAGTTGAATGGGTAAAGGGCACCCCATACAGAGTATGAGCAAAGGCAGGGAGTGTTGACCCAGAGCTATATTTAGAATGGGATAATGGGAGTTTAGGGAGCATGTTGGAGAGTGGAGACAGATGAAGGAGGAGCCAGATCATGGAGGACTTAGAAGGACACGCCAAGAAGCTTGCGCTTCAGACTGAATTTGTTCACAGATTGCTTGCCATATATAGTTCGAGCCTCCCTTGCCCACTCTGCTTCAGTCCAAGAGAACCATGCCAACTCTCTGATGATTCAGTTTTCAGACATATCCATTCTGGGTCAGGTCTTATTCAACTGAGTCCATAATTTCAAACTTGTTTCTCAAGGGAAAATTCATAGACGTTAGCTCTGTGAACTTGTACATTATACTAAAAGTTTAGTCTAGAATAGCAGAATTGTGTTTACAGGGTCACCACTGAAGTTGCTACATGAAAGAGAGGCATGCTTCCTGGTTCATAGAAAACGCTCAATAAATATGGAATTGTATAGTCCTCTTTCAATTGTGTGAGCTTCTCTCCCTATCCCCTGCCATATTCTTTTGCAATTTTGCTACTCTCATTAATGAAAACCTTAGCGAAAAGAACACCACAGAGAATAGATGCCACTATTGTTGTGAACTGCCCTCCTTGGAGATGTGGGTTTTGTCTATGGGCACAGTTGTGCCATAGACACCAGCTAATATGACAGAGAGTGCTGAGAGATTTGATAGAGAGCCATTTGTTGGTAATAGTTTGCGTAAGTCCCTGCCCTGAGATCTATTACAGTGTGATCTCATTGTTTCAGAGATTCCAAATCATGAATTGTTTTCTGAAATTTATCCAGCTTTTATTCAGAACATGTATACAGTTATTATATTGTCCTACTTATAACTTGTATAATATTAGTTATAATATTTACTGAATATCTTATTATGTGCTAGGCACTGTACTGGAGTCCCTGGGTGGCACAGATGGTTAAATGCTCGACTACTAGCCAAAAGCTTGGTGATTTGAACCCACCCAGAGG